ATCTTAGTTAATTGATTAACTTTAGTTTAATTAATTAGTTTTGGTTAATTAATTTTTAATTAATTTGATTGATTAATTAAATACATTTTAATTGATTAATTACACAATTTCACAACTAAAATCAACATTTTCAATTAAAAAACTCTTGATCAAAATCAAGGATTATTCTCACTCACTTCACACCTTTATTCATTCAATAAATACTTGATCCAACGTCAAGTCATCTTCACAATAAAAATTCAGAAACATGTCCAACGCCAAGTCCTTTTCAAAATAAACAAACCCGTTTCTCAAAGGCCAAAACACTTGATCAATATCAAATTTATTTTCAAATCAAAACTAATCCAAAACCTTTCACCCAAGAGAGAACTTTTTCAACATTGGTCTGTGTTAATTTTCTCTTCCAACACATGTTTGTGATGACCCTTTCGCACGTATGCAAACCTTTCCCAACTTACATAGTCCCCATAACTACGTATACATTGATTTCTCCATTGTACATGGAGATACATAAGAGCAAGATTCAGTGTCTCATCATACCACGTTTTTAATTTTTCCAACACTCGTCAGTGTTGACAACCTAAAACCTTCGCTTCCTTTAACACTCGTCTGTGTTAAAGCAGACACTCGTATGTGTTGCCCAAAACTCAAAAAGTTTGACAAGAACTATGTAAGCTCTGAATTTCCCATTGCACGAGGGAATATGTAAGCACAAGGTTATGAAATTTTGTCGATCCCATTAATAAAAACCAAACACATTTTCTTTTCTTTCTCTTTTTCTCGTATAATAATAAGAACGCAAGTAAACATCATGCTATTACTCTTTCGCGAAACTAACTAAATGGGTATCGTTGAGTACAATGGATGTGAGGAGTGCTAATACCTTCCTCTTGTATAACCAACTCCCGAACCTTAATTTGGTTGTGATGACCATCTTATCCATTCTTCATTTGTTTGTGGATTTTCTCGAACTTTCCCGTTCTTTTGGAACAAATAAAGTTTGGTGGCGACTTTGTTGTATTTCGAGTGTACGATGCACTCTAATTTTTTGCGTCGCGGTAGCATTTGGTCTTGGCACTTGTTGCAACTTCATTTTATGTTTGCACCTCCTTTTTTGTTTGTTTTTTTACTATTCTTGCATAGTGGGCCATAAGCCCATTTAGGGTTTTTACTTTCATTCCACCATTGTATTGATAGTTCACCCCTCCCTTTTATCTTATGTTTTTATTTTTATTGTTCATTTGTTTAGTTGATGCATGTTAATTAAAAATATAAAAAAATAATAAAATAAATCTTTTAAAAAACATATATGCTTGATCAACATCAAAAATTTTCAAAACTTTCCCTTAACCCACATTTGATTCCACAACCATTTCAGTGTCAATTCAATGACTTTTCCATTCAATCTCAAACAAATACAAACTAAACACTTATCAACATTGAGTCGCTTTTTCTAAACTCAATTAAATAATTTTCCATACAAATGTAAATCAAACACTTGGTCAATACCAAGTTTTTTTCCTCGAGTAATCAAAACGTTTTCAAAATCTTTTTCACAACAAAATTGGATGATAAGGAACTAGTTGGACGTAATATTCATCCTAGTTTACCATTTGAGATTCATCTTTATTTTAAAAAACACAATAATTAATCGAGTTTAGTTTGTTCCTTATTAGATGAAAAAGGATTAGTTGAGCGTAATATCCATCCTAATCTGAGTGTTTGGATGATAGCCGTAATAGCTTACCGTTCGAATGTTTGTCTTTCGTTAAGGAATTGTGACTTAATTCGTCTCACAAGTTTCATTAACAACTTGGACGAAAAGAATTAGTTGAGTGTAATGCCCATTCTAATCTTCGAGTATTTGAATGTTATTCGTAATAGCTTACCGTTTGAGTACTCATCTTCCACCTAAAAATAATCAAACCGATCAAACTATCTCTTCCCGCCTTAGTGCGACTCCGTAAACTTTTCACAAACGAAAGATGTTTTATCAATTCTGCCACGATACTAACAAACGGTTAAGCCTCCAGACACGAGCGTATAAGCAACGTTTAACCGCTAGAATACGACCTAAACATCATTCACTAAAATCAGCCAACACACAGTTCTTTTCTACCCATAACTACATAGTTTTTAGTTCCTCATTGCACATGGGGATACGTAGGAGCGAGATTCAACGTCTTGTCAAGCACCCTAATAAAAAATCTATGTAAATAACGCGCATAATAATTATAAGAAAACAAATATTATAAGCTAACACTCTATTTTACAAAACTAACTAAACGGTTCTCGTTGAGTACAACTGATGTAAGGGGTGATAATACCTTCCTCTTACATAACCGACTCCCGAACCTTAATTTGGGTGCGACGACCATTTTTTCTTCTTTAAGGGTTTTATCGATATTTTCCATTTCATTTTGGAATAAATAAACCTTGGTGGCGACTCATTGTATTTTGAGTGTTCGTTACACTTAGGTATTTTTCGCGCTGCGAGAGGCACCTTAAGCGAAATACGGTCCTTTAACGAACAAAGTAAAAAGCATAAGTTAATTTCATAGTATCATTTTAAAATAAAGTCACATCATCGACATATCATATACATACCTTTGTCTACCATTATTTGAATGTCACATGATCTGTATATCCTGTGAGAACATAATAGTCACTGGCCCACCAAGAAACCCTCCATCCGTGTGTACAGACTGGTACGTCAAAGCAGAAGCAATTACATCTGTCTAATGAGGAGCAATGACATATGTATCAATAGGAGGAGTAACCTCCATATCATTAGTAGTTGGGCCTCAGTAGTTGTATGCGGAGTAGGGGCTTCAATAACTGTCTCTAGAGTAATCTTTATAGTAGTTGTAAACTCTACCAAATAAAGATGTGGCATCTCTTCCATCTCAGAAGTACATGACACATTTGTCTCTACCATACGAGGACATCTGTTTGTGCCACCATCTATATGTCATCCTAAACCGATGCATGAACATCAATTGGCTCATCCTCGTCATCTTTCATCCTTCCAGAAGCAGGTCTAGATCCTATACGCCGAATAGTGCGGGGTGCATGAAATTGAGCCTGATCGGTCAACCGCCTCCTGTGAGAACCGGTTGGTGCCACTCTCCCCGCCTGGAGATGCGTGTCATCTACATCACCCCCCTTCTTTCAAGCCCTCGCAATAACAGGTCTATCACATTGTTGACCAGGAATCGTACCATTTGTGCCTCTGGTCTTCATTGCAAAAATAAAACATATTTTTTTAACTTACCTGATTTTTCAAAAAACCTGAAAATCATGAATTTTCCGCTTGTTTGGAAAAATCTGGTAAAAATACAAAGTTTTTTTCTAGATTTTTTGAAATATCTGGTTGAACGTATGCATTTTTGCCATATTTTTTTTGAAAAAACCGGAAACATTTATGCCTTTTTCAAAAAGTCCAGAAAAATATATGTATTTTTATCGGATTTTTCAAAAGATCCGGTTGAACGTATGAATTTTCATCGAATTTTTCACAAAATGCAAAAAACTTTGCATTGTTACCGGATTTTTCCAAACAAGCGGTAAAAAATCATGAAAAATCTGATTTTTTTTTTTAAAATGCGGTAAAAACAAATTTACTTGTCATCAATAGAAAATATCTTGTAGTGTTTATGAAATGTCCAGAAACTTACTGAGCTTTTCAAAAAAATCAAACTGTTTCAATACTTTTGTAAAATGACTTATAATATTGTATAAGACTAATATAATAAAAACATAGAAGGTGCGGGGTGTCAAGTTAAAATTGAGGGTGGCTGGATAAAACCTCCTAAAATTTGACCTACAGCCCATAAGGAATGGCCTGGAGATTAAATTAAGCAGCCCAAAACATTTTTTTCTAAATGCAATACAACTTCAATTTAAGCTGACATCAATGTATTAAACCAAATTACATTAACTACTCTTAGAACCTATAAGTTGACATCAATGTATTAAGTTGACTTATAACTTAATTTTTTTTTAAAACTTTATAGCGTATTTTTAGATAAACTACTTCACGTAGTATTTCATTTTATATCCTTCTTTTCTTCTTATTAATTTTAAACCTATGTGTCTTGATGAAAGAAAGAAATACATTATCTTAATGAAAGATACACTTTCATGTTATTTCATATTGAGCCAAAAAATTACAAATTCATTTTGATAATTTTGTATATTATTATTTCTCTTTTATGATCGGTCACTATTTATTTTCACGTTCTAAATATTTGATCTTAGATTTGAGAGAATTTATTAAAAATCTCACATTAAACAATACTAGTATAAACATGTGTTCATAAGTGAGAGAAATTCTCACTTTAATACCTGATTTGATTTTGTACGACTGAATTAGACTCCACAACCAAATGGAAAACATCACCATGATCCCAATTCACAAGCTACACCCCAACAGTCATAATCTCAAGGTCAAGAACGATTAAATCTAAAGTTTTAGTTATTTCAATTATTTTACATTCATTAATTAGTTCTTTTAATTGATTGTATAAATTGTATTGTATTTTTTCTTATACTTCTGGGTAATGCCACGAGTATAGTGAAGTGTAAGCTCTTTCGACCACCATCACCTTTGTCCGGAGGCTCCATGTTGTTCATGATAGTAATCATCCAATTTCAAATTGCAATTATCAAATTATTGAAATAGACGCGAATAGTAGATAATTACATCTTGACATCAATAGTAATTTGAGAATATAGAATAATATATATAATATGATACGTTGTCATATTAGTGTTGGACACTGACACATGTCTATATCAGACATCTTTAATATAAAACATCAGTGTTACATAGAAGATAATAGGACATCAAAAAGGCACATATGAACAACATATATGTAACAAAAAAAAACACAGCTCCAAATCAAACTATGGAGAAATACATGGTATTGAGTTTGGTACCCAGAGTTAACAACCCTCTATCATGTTACCTTTGCTTGATCTTCAAGTTACACATGAATTCAAGAGGGAACATTAAAGTGAAAAAGCCATGATATAACAAAAGCAAAAACCATACATGCTAGAAGGAAGTTCAAAAACCGGTGTCCCTGCCAAAAGTTTCGAGTTTCGATTGGCGGTGAAGGTCCCGATGGTGGTCCAATAGAGGGATCACTTGCTTCATTCAATTGTTCTGTCGTTTGAACTTCAAAAGCACCAGCTACATTGTGCGCTATTGAGCCACATATTTCACAAGTTCTGTTAATCAAACAAGTCCAATAATTAGTGCAGTTTACAGCAAAAATTGAGTACATCAGTAAAGTAATGACACTAATAGTCCTTTTTCAACTACATTCAACATTTTTTATAACAATGTAGTGTACTTAGTTCACACTATGTTACAAAACAAGAATGAGATTCACACTCCACTAACAATATATAAGCACTATCTTCAAAACCCATTATCCAAATTCTTTGGTATCAAATGGATATGCTATAAGGATAAGAAACAAATCAACATATTTCAGTGTAAAAATCAACTTTCCTGTCTTCAACTAGAATCAATTCTGAAAATAACGATTAATTCTACTCGAAAGCAAGCAAACATGTTAAAATCAATTCAACACATCCTGAATCAATTGAGTGCTATACTCTAAATCAATTTCGATTCAATACACATCAATCAAAATGAGTTTTATAAAACCAATTCAACTCAAACCAATTTTCATCACCACAAAATCAATCTCTTATATATATAGCACAACTTTGAAATTTACATCCAATGTGACTTCTTACTCACACTTAACACTACAAAAAAAAACTATCATCTTAAATACAATAGATAGCACTAGCATTCACCAATCTCACAAATTCACACCACCTACAAGAGAATCAATCTCAAAAGACACTAAAAAATTAAACTTTATTCCAAAAGGGTGCTAGAACTAGTACTTACTTGTTTCCCTTAATCTTGAACCAAGCCTCAGCACAATGTGTATGAGCAGCAGCCAAATCCTCTTTACAAGAACATCCAAGCTCAATAGGAACTCCAGATTCATGATTTGTCATATCCATACTAAGATGACAAATCCTACAATCTCTCTCCACCTTATCCAAATGCACCTTAACATCAACATCAGAACCAACTACACCATCCAGATCCAACTCAACAGATTCAACTGATTCAGATGAATCAACAGAACCCCTTTGTTTTTCATCCACTCCCACAATCTCTGACCTATTCACTTGCTCCTCATCTGACCTGTCATCGGAGTCATCCTCAGGATGACTCCGGTGACAACCATTGTTCTCTATGTCCACCACATGAAAGTTTTTCTCCTTATTCACCAGCATTTTTTAACAATCTTCATGTAATGAACAAGTGATGCAAAGATCATTAATAACCACACACCAAGTTTCTATGAAGAAAGTTTGAGTTTTTATGAAACAAAGGGTGTGTGAAAAATAAGTGTTACTCTACTGTGGTAGGTAACTAATCACTATAGAGAGAGAAAGATGCAACAACAACAACAAAAGCTGTTGTTATTATTAAGAAAAGTAAGAAACAACATTATGAGTTATGCAGTGAATCTCTGATGTAGAGAAATTTAGCAAATAAATAATAATTTTTTGTTTCCTGTTCTTTTGTTTGTTTCTATGTAATAAATAAATAAAAATGGTACTTGAAAATCTAAATGTGTTACAAAAGTATAGATTTTTAAGGTGTTTGTTTTAAAGATCTACATCAACTAATTTTAAAAGATCAATCACATTATCTTTTTATAAGAGTTCATTTAAAGGAAGAGTAAAGGTATTGATTCATCTAATACAAAAATTATTAACATATCGAAACCGATCGCATTGTCTACTTGCAAGAGTTCATATAAAGTCAGAATAAAGATTAGGAGTGAGATTCGGACCCGAGACATTAAGTGAACTAGAGATATTAATATTTATTATATAGTGAGATTCGGACTTGAAATATTAAGTGAATCAGAGATATTTTAATGTGATATTTTCTATATGTCGATGTCTATAGCAAGATTAAAAAAACAAGCAATAGGGAGCTTAAAACAGGATTAGATTATTGAACAAGGGTCATGTTGATAATTAATTAAGAGTTAAGTTATTCAATGATCTTAATCAAATGATCCACCATGTGCAATTTAGTCAAATGCTAGATTTGTCAAGTGTTGTTGTAATGAGATGTGAATTTTGTGGACCCCATTATTTTTCTTTTTCTTAGTCTTGGCGAGTTTTGCGGGTAGAATAGAATAGTACAGTGTGTTTTCTACTATGTGGTGCAAATAGTGAAACAGAAAATGCATGGAAGAAGGAAAAGGAAAAATGGAGATTGAGATTTCAGAATGAAGTTGAACAGAGTGCTTATGATAAAGTTGAGCTAAAAAGAAACTCTTTCTTTGCTTTTTTTCTATGGTAAATTGGTACGAACAGAGGAAAGTGTGAAAAGCTGAAAATTTTGTTCTTTGCATTTACCTTCTACTTTTTCTTTTTTTTTTATATATTTATTTTCTGTTTTCATAAATATTCCTGAACGGATTTTTTTAAAGATAATCTATTTCTCTAATTTGTTTTTATTTTGATTTTCAAAATAAATCTAAATATTTTGCTTTTTGCCGTAAAAGATAATAAAAAATAAATTTTAAGAGTATCAATATTTATGGATGACAATTTTATTCATCTCTAATAGGTATTTTTAAAATTATTTATAATAGATAGGATAAAAATCGGTAAAAATAGGTACGGATATGAACTCAAATAATTATCACTAAAATAAACGGGTATGAACACATGTAGAAAGTATCTTAGTACCCACCTCGCACATACATGTACAATATTATTTATTTATTTATTATTATGTACCCATGTTAATTTATCAATTTTATTAAATACATAACTATTAAACTTGTTCTCATTTCAATATAAATATTTGTTTGTTTCTTAACTCAACTATAACATCTATAAAAAAATTTAAATGTTGTTTAATTTAAAATAACTTGATAAGTTCTAATTGATCGATTATTTTTTATTACAATACGAGTAAACGGGAATGGGCATGGGTACTTAGTTATCCATAAGGTACGGGTACAGATGCAAATGTTGGTGCACACGCAGATATGAGCTCGAGGATGAAGATTTTTTATAACTGATACATCACATATTCATCCAAAATCTTAAGGTGATAGGTGTGTGGATTCTCCCATTTATAAATGTTCAAGTCTCCACATTCTTAATCAAGGTGAAACTTTCCCACACTATTCACACATGTAATTCTTTTTCAACACTCCCCTTCAAGTGTGAGTTTATCCATAATAATCATCCTCGAGTGGAAGCTCTTTCTTCCACATACACTTGTACTATCATCAACACTTTTCAACAATAAAAGTACTTTCGATACAAACAACGGCGACTCTAAAACACATATAATGACGGTTGTACATTTTTTGTTAGATACTTTCGATAAAAGTAAGTCAATCCCTTCACTCAAAATCAGACTCTGATACTAGTTGTTGGGGCAATTCAAAGGGGGGGGGGGGGGGGGAGGGTCAACACGAGGAGCATTTTTATACTTGGGGACTTTCCTTTTGAGTAATACACCTTTGTGAGAGACACATCACATACCACCACTACAGAAAATACAAAACAATGATGACTCTAAAACACATATAATGGCGGTTGTACGTGTATTATAAGATAAAGTGTAATTGTATGTACGCTGGTTTCTATTACGGGCGTTTGGTCGTTGTTATAAGTTAAGTAGCATGCTACGTATAACTACGGTAGAATATTTTAACTATCGTAAAATAATTCATAGGTATTGGGTTCGAATCATAGCAACACCATTATTGGTTTTATTATTCTACTTATAACAACAGTTAAATAAAACAATTGTTGTGATTTTATTGATTAACCTAAATAAAATAATACAATATTGTTCTCTTGACATGTCTTATCTTTTTGTGTTTTGTCTCTTGATATCTTGACTGTAAATACCAAATAAAAATACTTAGAAATTCTAACTTACATTAAATTATGAATGAAGTAGGCACAAGAATCTTCACGTAGGAATTATAACTTACAGTAAATTATCTTGTTGTCTTGGGATGTCTTTTCCATATTCCTTCTTGATGTTCTTCGTATGAAGTATGCACCAGAATCTACACATAGAAGATACAAAAAAGAGATAAGAGAGAATCTAAGTAAAAACAGAAATTGACAATTATCCACAATATCCAAGATAGTCAAAGTCAGATTCTTGATGCATAGTCTTTAAGGCAGTTTGTACGTTAACCAAGATTTCTTCTTATAAAAATAGATGTTTGCATAACCATCTAAATCACATTACTCTCCAGCTAAAATGGATAAATGTAAACCAAAGAAGTACTATAAGGCTGAAAAGAAGGATTTTAAGAAGGATTACCAGGGTGAAGAAACAAGCAAATGAAGATAAGCAGAAGTCTGAGGAAGGTTCAAAGATTCAGAAGTTTGAAGGAATAAGCACATCTGCTAGGGCCTCCACAGTGGAAAAAAAGAGGGATGAAGAATAAAATTATCTAATGTAGAAACATCTGTTGAGGATCCAAAATGTAATGCCTTTTTAATGAATAAAAGAACTTCATTCTCTTAGTGTGTGTGTTGCCATTTACTTCCTTTAACAACACCAAAACCTAAAGCATATCAATAACCCAATAATGAGTTTGTATCTACACAAATTTATTGTTACAAAATTTGAATAAGAAATGAACATAGCAAAGATCAACCAAATCCACATCACAATATTAAAAAAGAAACCCTAGAAAAGAACATAAACTTTCAGAATGCAGTACCAATACCATAATGTGTGTGTGTGTGTGTGTGTGTGTGTGTGTGTGTGAGAGAGAGAGAGAGAGAGAGAGAGAAAGAGAGAGAGAGAGCAACAAACACATAATGGTAACGTACTGTAAGTCGAAGAGGATATTGATTTCCAGAAATGAATGAAAATGGTTAAGATTTCGCTATCGCTGTCGTCTCATCTCTAGGACACCCTTATATGTTATGAATGAAATAAATTGCCTGTTATGTTTTTATTAAGTGAAAATAATTTCACAATGGTTTCAAGAAACAATTGTAGTAAAATATGGAACACATAACCATGGTTGAACAAAACAATCGTGGTTGTTATACTTTCAATTTTTAAATAACAAAAAATGTTAAGGGTTACACGCTTATTTTTATTGAAAAAATGGAAAAATGTTAATGTTGAGATTCAAAGCTTGTCACCCAATTTCTATGACCACGGTTGGGTTTAGGAACCACGATGAAATGTTTCTTAATTAAATAAAATAAAATAATGCGCATAAAAAATCAGATATTACTACGGTGAATAAATGGTATTTGTAATATATCTTCACCGTAGATATATTTTACAGTAGTGTTCTTACCCAAAACATTAATATTTTGAGTGAATATATGATGTGTCTCTCACAAAAGTGTGTTGCTCAAAAGAAAAGTCCCCAAAGTGTACGATGTTCTTCATTTGACCCCCACCCCCCGAATTGCGCCAACAAATTACATAAGCACAATGTGTTTAGAAGTGTTTTCCAATCCCTATTAGACATATCTAAGGGTTTACCAATTTCCATAAACACACTCTTATAGATTTATCCTTGTCTCTCTAAGATTACCACTAGCTTTTTCAAACTCTTATCTTTGTCTTCAAGTATAAAATTATAAAGTTTTTGAAGTAAAAAATGATAGAGATACATATTTATAACGGTTGAAACTCAACTGATACATAACAGACCCAAAACACAAGTCGTTAACAAACCAAACAAACAAAAACAACCAAGTATGATACGCAAAAACTACTCATATTAGATCTGACACCCGCAGGAACCAACCCCGCCCCCGCTTCTGTCAACCTGCCGCCACCTTCCCCTGATGAAACTCACTGAAAGTAATTCTCTATGATCAAGGAACTTCAATCCTCCATGTTTCATTCCCAACAACTCATAACCATTCATACCTATAGGTTAGACATTGATGGTATAATCCACAACTTTACATCAAGCTGATTTGACTTAATTTTGTCAATAAAAAAAGTTTAATGACCTTCACAACATATTAGGTTAGGTTTCCCTACTCTAAACTTCCATAAGTGTTTGAAAGTGTGTTCTAATTAATGAATAATTGCCAATCAGGTAAGTGCTTTAACACTAGCATTACCCCATAAACTCCAAGACAATTCTGGTCGAAAGCATTTCTATCCCATGTCTTCTACAAAACTAATTAAAGTGGTCTTAAACAACCTTCAGACATCCACCATGCCTAGACGTCAAATCTCTTAACTTGTT